CTATTGCAGTCCTTTCTTTCAGTTATTTGTTATTCAACTATATTATATACTCGTACATTCAATGTACTGATGTCATTTGACCTGCATCTTTTAATGATGCAGATACATGTTCTTAGGATCCTCAACAAGAGTCTGTTGAGATCACTTCATCCGCTCGTCTGCTTATGAGTGATACATCTTTTCTTTCGGAGTACTCTAGTTTTATGAGTTGTTAGTATTAGTAACATTTTGAGTAGTCGTGGGTCTTGTCCCGACACTCGTCTATATATAGTAGAGGCTTCATAGTAGACAGTTTTGGAGAGTCTTTCAGTTTTCAGATGTTTTATTTGAACTTATGATTCATACTCAGTATATTCAATAAAGTTTTGAAATTTAGTAAGTTGTTTTTTTAACATTTCTTTCAATTTGATGCATACGTATGCTTGAGTTGGTCTTTCGCTTGTAGTCAGCCAGGATGAGGGTTCGCTTGAGGACCAGCAATGGTTATCGAGTGCCGACCACGTCTAGGGTGTAGGATCGGGTCCTGACAAACTTGGTATCAGAGCATAGAGTTCAAGTATCCTAGGGTGTCTATGAAGTCGTGTCAAGTAGGATCTTATTTATGGTTGTGAGGGCCCCACTTCTATAAATAAGGGATTACAGGCCTTTAAGAAAAGTTTTCCTTCTTTCATACGCAAAATCGTGCAATAGAACTAGGTCATAAGGAACTCATTCAAACTCGTGTGTTTCTCAAATTCATTCGACTACCCCTCATACTTAAGGTAAATAAAAAGTAAAGCCAGATCCTTATCGATGAGTAACTCTTAGCATTAATCTTGAGAAAGTCATGAGATTGCAGAGTGGCTTGAGAGAAACTTGTGAGTGAGTTTAACTATTGATATTCGAAAGAAGGCACTCATATTCATATGAATCGTGCTTTCAAGCTAAAAGCGAGATTTACTCTCTTCTCTAAACCTTGTTCCAATTGAGACCCTTATTAGGAAGTGTGTTTTAGAGCTTGTGAAGTATTTCCACCCAAAAAGATAGTATGAGTACGAAATTATAAGAAGTAGTAGAAAAAAGTAGTAGAAGAAAGTGCCCAGAGTTAGAAGAATGAATGCAGAGGTGTAGTAATCTAAGAAAGGAATATAGTGTTGAGGGAAATCATATTGTTGCAATCATGCCCTAGTAAATTATTAATGAGGAATTTCCCCTTATGGGTAGACTGAGAAGTGATGAGTTTGTGTAGATTTCATGATAAAGGATAGAGGAATAGTTACGAGTTAGGATGAGTTAGAGTATACTTTTACTAGAAAGGAGTTTATGATGATATGTCATTGTATTAGTAACCACCAAGTGTAGGTGTTGAATGATAGATCTAAGCCAAACTTATGATTTTTGGGAGATCCCGTGATTTTCAGAGAGTTATAGAACTAGTTAGCCAATGATGTGTATTGAGTAGGTAAATGGTACTTAGATTTTGAAAATGATTTGTGACAGTAATTTGTAAATAGGTAGACTGAGAGGTAAAGATTGACCTACGTGTTAGGAGGTTTTGGGTGCGGGTGTTTCTTAATTTTATCTATTAGTAATGAGTTAGTATAGTATGCAAGGAATTATATTGATATTCGTGTTTTGTAATAGACACTAGGCTTGAATTTGAGATGAGAGTTGTGATAAAAAAGAATGGCAACATGAGGGTGATGATGTTAGTTTTGAGATCTAATCTGGTAGACCTGACATAGAGTAGGAGAGGAGTTAAGAGGTTAGTTACAATAAAGGTGAGTGGTACAAGTATGGGATTCTAACTTTGAGGTAAGAGTAGTGAAGTGTGGTTAAGTCATTAGAGTAACAAGAGCATTAAGAGGTGTACCCGAGGTTGTATGTAACCAGATGAGGTTCTAATTAAGTTTCTTTTTTTCATGTGTGCCTAGATAGTATATTTGAGCTGTCAATGTGGAATAGATTGGTGTAAGCATTTTTTTCCTTAAGAGTTAAATGAAGCGGCTTGATAAAAACAATGAGAAGAGGTTAATAAAAGCATCTTAGAAAGAGGTCTTAGAAGGAGTCTTAGTACATGTTTACGCAAAGTTAAGTAGCCATGAGATAAGTCTTTTTCAAGCATTAGAGTAAAGAGAATATAGACCAATGTAGAGATGATGGAATAGATCCATAGCTTTCAAGTGTCAGCTTTAGACCTAAGGGGTAGATGATAAGATGAGAAACCAAGTCAAATGTTGATCGGTCCGGCAAACGACCAAATAGCTCCAGTCCACCACCCCAACAATTGCTCTCTCACACTCCTCTCTCACGCACAACAATCATCGAAGTGATTTGTTGATATTTTTTTATTACCCAGTTTTATATTTGCTTTTTGTCTTAGTTATTGTTAAATGTTTCAATTACTGCCTTCTCTGTCATTGCTATATATGATTTTATATTATTACTTTTTAGTTGCATTTTGAGTAGTGATTCTCACTAATTGGAATAGATGTTTTATATTTTAGCTTGTTTCGATATTTTTTTTGTTAAATTCAACTAATTTTGTGTGGTATGGTCCTGATGGGTTGAGGGTTATTTTTTTATTGTTTTATTTTTCTTTGCTATTTGTTGAGAAGCTGGTCGAAGAAGAAATTACTATTGATTTCTAAGGTCTTTCATGTCTATAGGACATGTTCAATTATTTTGGTTAATATTATTCATTACTAACAATTTTATTAAGCGTATTATAAATATCAAGAGTTGCTTTCCAAGGAAGATATGTCAATAATATTTTTTTTATGTATATTGCTAACGATAGACAAATATTATGCCGTTTCTTTAGTTATTTTTTTACTTTATTATTTGTATATAGTTCATGTTTATTATATTTGTACGTTATTTTTATCTCCTCCTCAATTTAAAAATAACGAGTTCAGTCGAAACCCACAATTATGAATTTTGAAGGATGTTAATATCTTTCTTTAGAATCACTTGAACTCTTACCTAGAATCTATTGATTTCGTAGAATTTTTATTTTTTTATTAATTAGTTAATTGATTTACTAATTACCCTAAAATTAGGTGGCGAGTCCTAAAATCTTTCTTAAAATTCTTTTAAATTTAATTAAATTAAATTATTATATTTTATTGAGTTTCATAACGTTGCGCCTTATTTGAAAAATAGAGATGTATATTATACCAATATACTTCACAGATCGACTAAAATTTTGAACCAACCATTGAATACTCTGTGATAAATGGATGATTATGACGTCTATTTCTTAAAAAAAAATAAAGTGTAAACTGAAACATGTGTGATATTTTCAAAATCGCGATCCAATGTAGTGAATATAAAATTTAATTTTATTTAAATTAAATCTCGAATTCATAACATGATTGACGATCCATCAAAATTGAATGACAAAAGCCATTTCGAAGTAAAGATTATTTTCTTTCCCACATATAAATAAGACTTAATTAATGATAATCAGACACCTTTGATTAGTAGTATGAATTCGAACATCTTTTTCCACTAAGATATTAAATACAATCCCATCGCGTAATAACCAATAAATTACTAATTGAGTAATGCCCCCTCTATTTCTAATTATTTGTCTACTTTTTTTTTAGTTGTTCCTAATTACTTGTCAATTTTGACAAATTGAGAAAGAACAATTTTTTTACCTATTATATCCTCAATTAATTACTTTGAAAAATGTAGAATTTTTCGAAAAACTTAAATTTTTAAGTCACCAAATTCATAATTAATAAGGGTAAAATGGTAAAAATCACTATATCAATTATTATTTTCTTAATAGGTGTGTCAATTCAAAAATAGACCAGAGGGAATAACTCGATTTGGCATATTTTTCTCGAAAGTCTTGTAGCAGAGCTAGCAAAATGTGAACAGTACCGTTCAAAATGGGAACATCGTTCAAAATGTCTACATGACTAGGATTATTGGAGTAAAACTCTTTCTTTCTTTTTTTTCTTTCTCAATACACTAGAACACAAAAGGAGAGAAAACCAGGATGAAAAATCTGATCCCTATAGTCCCAAATATTAATGTTGGCAAATTGAATTGGTTACAAAATTCAATTTGGGGATAATTTGTGAGACACTTAAAATGCTTTTAAGGAGTGCTTCATCTTAGAAACACTTAGACCCAAGCTTATTTTTAGAAACATTTTTTCTTAAAATAGCTTTTTCTTTAAAAGTAATTTGTATTTTGCTAATTATTTGAAAAATATTCTTGATAAGCAGATTGTGTTTGACTTATCATTTTCAATAACACTTTTGAGATTCAAATTACAAAAAAGAATAAGTAGAAATACACTTTTAATATTAAGATTATTTTATAGAAAAATTATTTTAAATATTTATAATTAAAATTTTAGTTAATTTCTTATTTTATTTTTTTTATATGTACACATTCAAATCTTCAATCAATACTATACATAGATAAATAAATAAATTAATTAAATATTGATATCATATTTACATAATAATTTTTAAATAATTTAAAATAATAAGTAAAATAATTCATTCCACAAATTAATTATTATATACGAAAATTTACCACAAAAATAAATAAATAAATATAAGAGATATATCGATAAACATGTTTATATAGCAAGTATAGTTTGGTCATAAAAAAATAATTTGCTGCTTCTAATTTTTGTAAGAGCATAAAATTTTAGTTCTTCCCAACATCAAAAAACTATTTCTCCTTCCGGTTAAAAGCAATTTTTACAATGCAAACACCTCAATAAGGTCAAACAAACTCTTAATATGCTTTTAAGTTAAGGAAAAAAAGACAAAAAATTAGTCAAATATCATCATTAACCATTGATAAATGTGTTTATAATTTTTTATTAAAAAGGGTAAAAAAAAAATGCACTTTGCTTTTTTAGTTTTGCAAATCTTGTCATAGAAGGTTTGTCCTTTATAAATGAGGTCTCCCATTCCATTGTGATTAACTCTTAGAACTATATAACAAGCACCTCCCTTGTCACCTTGAGTTGTAGGTAGCAAAGAAAAGATAAAAACATGGCTAAGTTTATAAGGTTTTGTTTGTTTTTCATGATGTTAACAATTAGTTCAGTAGTAGGAGATGGCGATTATGCATACGATTACGATGATGCATATGCCCCAGCGCCAGCATCGATACCGGCATCGACTTCAGCGGTACCAGCGGTACCAGCGCCACCACCGGCATCGACTTCAGCGGTACCAGCGGTACCAGCGCCACCACCGGCATCGACGTCACCGGTACCAGCGCCACCACCGGCATCGACGTCACCGGTACCAGCGCCACCACCGGCTGTGGTACCAGCTTTGTTTGCTTTCGGAGACTCATTGATAGATAGTGGAAACAACAACCAGCTTTTCTCATTTGCCAAAGCCAATTATTTGCCTTATGGCATTGATGTTGGTGGCCCTACTGGACGCTTCTCTAATGGCTACACCATCCTTGATCAGATCGGTAACTGCCTCCATTCCCAATTACTTTTTTTTTTTTTTTTTTAATAAAAAAATTAAATTATTTTGTTCTTATATTAAATCTTCTTGTTTCTGTGATTTACTCTACATCTTGTAAAATTTATCAATTTTTTTTTGTTAATTATAGGTTACTCTTCCTTTTGTTTCACCTTCATCAATTGGTTCTTATTTTTGAAACCTTTATAAGCTTCCGTGGCAGGGAGAAGTCCGATTACTAATTTGGCCTGATAATGTATTTGAATTGAGAAATCATTAAATTTAGAATTCAATGATTATTAACACTTGAAATCAATTATTTGAGTATATCGATATACTTCTTTTCATTTTCTGGAAACATTCTGGAAAATAAAAATTACTTTAGCTACTCTCTCGGTCTAATTTTATTTTATTTTTTAAAATGAAACTAGTTCTTGAATTATTCATTATTTTGAAAATTTAAGAAAAAATGAATTAGTGTTAGTAACTATAGTCATTTTTTTCAATATATTTTTTAAAACATTTAATTTATCAAAAGGCAATATAACAAAAATTTCATTTAAATTACCATTTCTTGAAAAATGTGTCAAATTAAAATTGGTCAAATAAAAGTAAATTGAAAGACTAGTGAATAAATTTTGAATGTGACTCTTATATTGTCTTTATGCCCGCCAAGTCAAGTAAACAAACAATATTTGCATTATATATTTGTTTTCTTATAAATACTTATTACTTAATTAAAGTTAGTTTGTGCGTATCTTCAAAATATTTTGTCTCTTTAACTTTGATAAACTAATATGATCACTTAACTTTAGTTTTAATTTTTACGTTACATGTTTAAATTACAAAATTAAAAAAAAAAACACTTTGATACATCTCATACATATTTTTTAATCTAAGACCTTAATATTTAAAAATCTTATTTAATTATAAAAATTCACTATGTGACAAATAAAAAAAGACAACCAGTGTGTTTTTTCTTCCGTAAAATATAGAACGTTTTATATCACTTAGATAAACACATTATCGTTTCAGAAAAACACAAACATTTTCAGACAAACAAGTAATAAACTTATGTTCTCAATTAATTTATATGTTTGAGATTCGAATTTATATTCTCAGTGTTTGTTGAAAAGTATAATTAATGCGTAGATCGATATTAAATGTGGCGGTAAATATATATTTTGTATGGAAACTTGCAGGTGTGCTTCTGGGATTGCCTCTGCTTCCATCATATTCAGAGGAGTTCAACGTGGATACAATGCGTTTCGGAGTGAACTATGCCTCTGCTGCTGCTGGTATCCTTGATGTTACTGGTTTTCACTTTGTAAGTATCTATTTTCATTTGAATTAATTGATTTAATTTTCATATTTGATATAGTATTAATAATAATAATAAAATGTATCATTCAGGTGGAACGAATCCCATTCAGTTATCAAATAAAAAACTTTGAGAACACGTTGGTAAATTTGATAAAAAATATGAGTGCACCCATTGTGAAAGAGGCAATTCCCAAGTGCATCTTCTTTGTGGGTATGGGAAACAATGATTACCTCAACAATTACATTATGCCTGTCTACTTTACTCAAGATCAATACTCTCCTCAAAAGTTTGCTGAATTACTCGTTCATCAGTACAAAGCTCAATTAACAGTAAGATCCATCCATCATTCAAATTAAACTTGAACAAATTCAATTTCTATTAATCACTAATTGAAATTGGTCATGCAGAAATTGTACGATCTTGGAGCACGGAAATTTATTATTACTGGGATTGGACAAATGGGTTGCATCCCAAGCATGCTAGCAGAAACTTCACGTGGTGGATGTTCAGAATCTGTAAACGAAATGGTGCATCCATTCAATTCAAAACTAAGGACAATGATCATGAAACTGAACAAGGATCTGGCTGGTGCACACTTCATATTCCTTGATATGGAATATATGTTTAAGGATATCTTTAAAAACCACAAGGCGTATGGGTTTAGTGTGATAGACCGTGGATGTTGTGGTCTAGGGAAAAACCAAGGGGAAGTAACTTGTCTTCCATTTGAAATACCATGTGCAAACAGAGATGAGTACTTATTTTGGGATGCATATCACCCCACATCTGCAGTAAATCTCTTGCTTGGAAGAATGGCTTTCTATAATGATGCCAACTATTCTTATCCTATCAATATTCAGCACCTTGCTCTTATCTGATCTCAGATGGAACTTCTACATTACATGATCCGTCTTCCTTGTTAACTTACATTTATTATCAGTTATGATGAATTACAATAATTTATGAATATCTTTCTTCCACCCGGATTTCTTCTAATCTAACTATTAATCAAGCTGGTATCGACATGTTAATTTATCGTCATAATACTACGGACTTGTAATTACTACTAGTACTAGTCAACATTGGTTCAGTAGTTAGTTAACTGCAGTGTTCGAATTCTCAGTACCTTCCATGGAGGAAACTTAGCTAGGTGAAATTCTAATTCGAGAACGACTGAAACCGACCTTGCTCTGATACCATAACAAAACCTCACAACAGAGGTGTATACCTAGAACAGGGAAGCCATAATTGGCAATTGAAGGAGAGCAATTCACGAGATCTGAACTTTGAGAAAATGAAAACTCACACATGGATAATCACTTGACAGTTGTGTCCAACTAAGCAAAATAGGAAGAAAATATCCTAACTAACTTCTTGACACTCTAACCGACTTACTGACCACTGCAGTTAACTAACTACTGAACTAACCAATGCTGACTAATACTAACTAATACTAGTTACAATATAATTAGTTAATAAGTGTTAATAGGACTTTTCAACATATTTTCTTACGTCAATGTTATCATAATTGGGAGTAAGGAATTACGGTCAGTTTTTACACTTGTAGGTTACCATTAACATTTCCTTTCATTTCAAATTACTTACTTGATTTTAATTCGACATCAAGTTTTAAAAAGTAAAGAATATTTTGAATTTTATGATATTAAACTAAAGATATATAGAATATACCAAAAATTTTATTAATCTTGTTATCTTAAACATGTGATATGGAAAGTTTAATGTACCAAGATGCATGTCCTTTAATCTTGTGATCTTAAGCATATATATGACATGGAAAGTTGGAATTAATTAATAGTTATCAAAAAGGGAAATGCATTTTGTAAACAAACTAAAACGGATAAACAAGAAAAACAGATTAAAACAAAGGGAAACTAAGCAAATCCCCCATAAAAACAAATAATTACAAACATATATATATCCATTTACATTCATACCTCACTAAATAATTACACTATATATGACCCAACTAATTTCGTTTAACTAATACTAAATCAGTATCATATAGTATCATTGACTAATGAGTAATTTCTGAAAAAGAAACCTTAATGTTACCACAACAATATACATATATTCTTATAGTACCATTGATTAATGAGTTTCTGAACAAGAAACCTTAATGATACCAATGCAATATATATATATATATATACACACTGATTTAGTATCAATTAAGCGTAAATTGTTAGTCTTAATGAATGGGGGTATGGACTATAATTATTTATGAGAGAATGAATATTTCAGAAATTACATTAGGTTTGGTTATGAACTTGTAATTTTTTTGAATTTTATTGCTCATTTATGTAGTTTTCCCTTAAAAAGGATTAAAACAAAGAGATTATATTTAATGGATAGTTCTTGTAATTTTTCGTTTAAAAAACTTATATATATGATGACATAAAAAATTATATACATGATCACTTCGCATAACATAATTGACATAAATATTCAAATTACAAAGGAAATTACGAAGTACGTAGAATTTTATGTGTTTGCTTATACTAAATTTTTTCAATTTGAATTTATTAAATCACATTTGCTCTATGTTCACAAGAATGAATTGTACTGTTAGAGGTCGTTTGATGTAGGAATGGGATTAGACAAAATTATTTCATAAATTTAAATATCTCATGAGGCTAATTATTTCTTTATATATATATATATATATATATGATAAGTTATCTTATCATTATAATACAAATGAGATAAATAATCTTGGGACTAACTAATATGACTAACCAAACTCATGACAAAATAATCATACATATCCTCATGCCAAACAACTATAAATACAAAAAGAACTATTAGTACATTCAATTTCAATTTATTGGGTTCATGCTTGCACGAGCATATAAACATCTTGTTATATATATATATATATATATATATATATATATATATATATATATATATATATATATAAGCTACAAAGAAAAGCGGCTTAACCTATTTCAATACTTTAAAAAAAAAAAAAATTAAAAAAATTACAACTTCATAATTTATTTTGGGTTCACTCATTGACTGCAATATGAGTCTTATCTCACCCTCATATATAGTTACTTTAAAAGTGTTTGATGGATAAAACTAGTTTAATAAAATATATTTTTAATTAAAATATTTTTAAAATATAATATTTCAAATTAACATGAATTAAGTCATATCAAATCTAAAAGTTGTATATATGTGTAAGTTTCACACAAAGAAACACCATTAATTATGTGGTTGAGCTCATGTATATTTAATGTCTTTTAAATTATCTTTGAGGACATTTTAGTCTTTTACAAAAAAAAATTTGGTTTCCCATCCATTGTTCGATACCCATATTTTTTCTTATTTAGGTATGGTTTGACATGAGTGTGTCCTACTTTTTCTTACTCTCTATTTTGTCCTTATAATTTATTTCTTACTTAAATTGGTGCAAAATAATAAATATAACAAACTTTATGGCCTTTTTAAGAAATTTTTTAACACACTTAAAAAGTTGGTCTAATCCATCGGTGGCCCTCTAAAGTTGGCACGATGTTTCACTTAGACACCTCAACTGGATGATTTTCATTTTAGACACCTCATGTAGGATCTCACTATGTCATTTTGATACCTTTTTTTAATATCAACTATATAATGTGTATGTGTTACAGTCACGAATAACGTGTAAAGTGACTAATTAAATGATGACATTTGTCATTTGTGTCAAACGTAATTTTTAAATAATTAATTTTGAGTAAAAATTTAAACTGACCAATGAATTTATGACACATATAATTACAAAATTAAAAAATCAAATAAAAAAAGCCCCACCCCCACCCCCAAATTTAACTTGAAGATATATTGTTCATTGTTTGAGTTTCATTTGAAATGATTTGAGGCATGAGAGTAGTAACTATGAACTTTAGGAATAAAAATATGGCCGCTGAAGTTGTTGAAGTGTAATCAACATAATATAGAACAACAAAATCAAATCAAAACTAGTTTTGCAACATATAGATCTCGATTGCTTCACTTAAATAAGCTAAGATAGATTATTTATTGCCCTATAAATACTAAAGTAGAACAAACCAAAAGATCAAAATGTGGTATACATAGTTGTTTCTCCATTAAGAACATTGATAACGACTCCAGCAGATAAGCTGAAATACATAACAAGATTATCACCCTTTGAAATTCCATCATCTTGAACATTTCTTGAAGCAAATGCCTCTTCACAATTCATGGCAAAATCATTAGCTGATTCAACATGATCACTAGCTGATTGAAATTTCTTCTCTTGAACATCATCTAAAGCAATCACAAATGCTCCAACAACACCTTGAACATCATCTAAACCAATCACAAATGCTCCAACAACACCACCATACCTGTTGTTGAGACATAATATAATTAATTTGTTAAAGTATGTTATCTCTAAACTTGAGGTGGTCAGATAGCTCAACATGATATTAGGTAATTATAACAAGAGGTTCTTGAGGATCACATCTAAAAGTTTTAAGCTTATGTATTTAGATTTCATTCAAAAGTTTATGCTAGTAGAAAGGAATAATAACACTTTTCGTCTTAAATAATTACTAAGTTCTCCTTTGGTCCTTCTGATATATATCTATATATATACATCAACATATTTCACCTTCCATTAATTTAAAATGTGTCTTTGGCCCCTTCACGTATAAAACATGTCACATGAGTTGAATATCTACAGAACTGTATTATCGTCAAATATGAAGTAACAATACAAATTTAACATAACATATCACATATGAGTAATTAAGTGGTGAGATGATTAATAATTGTGGTAATTTGTGAATATATTAGCAAGAAAAGGAATTAAAAGTGTACAATTCAATTAAATGAAGATATAATGTGCTTCGGCGTCAGATCAATTAAATCAAAAGTGCTTTTGGTCCTATTAAAAATGAGACTGACACATAATTCAAAATACTAATATTAGAAAGTAAGCAAGAGGTTTCACGTTCAAATATCTCTGCCACCAAAATAACAAACATTAATATTTCCACAAGTTTGATGTTTCACCAATGAAAGAAAAAAAATCGCGTCAAGGGGTGCTTGAGATTTTCATACGAATAAAAATATTTATGCAATAAGTTATATGCATGGGTTAAGCTAGATTTTCACCAGAACTCAGTAGCTTTGACACAAACCACGTGTTACTAAAGAAAATAAGTAACATGTGTCTTACTAGCAGAGGCAGACCCACACCTTTAGGAGGGGCGTACATGCACTCGCTAACTTTGAAAAAAAATCATATGTATATATTGAAAGTCAAAAGGAGGGGTGAATTAAAATTTCCTTCAGTCGACTTCTTGTAATGGTCAGTCGACTCGCCTGCACGTTAGTAAAACAAATATATAGAAATAGTAAATGCAGTAAGTAAATAACACAGAGAGTTTTTATAGTGGTTCGGAACACCCATGTGGTGCCTACGTCCAGTCCCCTTGGGTTACAAGGGTTTCCTTAAGAGCTTGTTGAGAACTTGGATATTACAGAATGTTACAGTTGAGAGCCCTGTTTGATATGCAAATCAAATCTTCTTCTTTGACACAACCTCTACTTGTATAAGCTACACTCAGGTCTTTCTTTCTATTTTCTTTTCAATTGTTCACTCAAGTGTGTACAAAGTTTTATGAAAGATAAAAGAAGATTACAATATAAGTTCAAGTGAAGTGCGTATTTCACAACTATGGCTAAGAGACGTTTATATAGCTTTGGAGGACTTTGCTCTTTTACGAAAACCCAAGGGAGTTTGAATCAAGGATCCTTGATTAAGTCCTTGATTTTATTCTGATTGATTTGCTGAGTCATGTCCATATCAGATATGTGCATGAGCAAATCGATTTATTCCTTTGTGTGATGATCTTCTTTGTGGTCTTGAATCTTTGGTTGATCTTGTTAACTTAAATGCATCCCTTGATTTTGATTTCTTCCTTGTAGCCTTGGATGTTAACTGAT